GAGGGCCAGGAGGTCTCCCCTCAGCCTCCTCTTCTCCAGACTGAACCCCCCCAGTTCCCCCAGCCGCTCCCCAGCAGACCTGTGCTCCAGACCCTGCCCCAGCTCCCATTGCCCTAAATTCGATTTCCAATTTTTGTGAAATACCAACTGAATTTAGCAACTAAAGAGGTGTCTGAAACAACCAGACCTGCCCAGATGACGGAGCTCCCGTCTTCCTGCCCTAAAACCACGTACAGCACACGTGGTGCACAACCACAAGGTCGTGATTCTGCCCACCAGGACTCTCAAATGTTCTTTTTTGAGCAGAAATGCCTTTTTCTCAGCGACACCAACAACAGCTGCCAGAATGTGGTGATAGAGGGTGCAGGGGAAGGTGATGTGGAAAGCAGGTGTTTGCCGTAGTTCTGAAATGGTTTGAGCAAATAATAACAGAGAGGTGAAATCCCAAAAGCTTCTGAAATAAACCCCAAAATTTCATCATTTCCTTGTGGAAATACATATTCTTACTTTGACGGGAGGCCTAACAATTGCTATTGACCTTCAAAATACATGCTTTAAAAGGCAGAATAGGAAAGCTGGAAATAATAAGTTTACTTTGATGCAGACTTATTTATCCACTTCCTCCGTGTTCCGATTTGTAGAGATAAAGGCAAGGTCGTGCAGGGCTGGGAGCAGAAGGGGTGCGTACGAAGCGATCTCCAGAATCCCCTTCTCTAGATTAGTGGAATAAGAAGTGTCTGGCCCTTCAAATGCCAGTGAAATTGTTTGGAGGATTAGGATCAATTCTCTGAGGAAGAGCAAAGGGTCAGCAAATAGACTGGAGATGGGGATGAAGCCGGGAAGGCAGTCAGGGTCTAAGAGGAAGGCTTGGGCGCAGCAGTAGTAAAGACAACAGATTACAGAGCAGATCAGAAACAGATTTTCCATCTAAAGAGGTATTAAACAATATACCTGGAAAAAAAAATCCCTTATTTTTCGCTATTCAGGGAAAAATAAGAACATCACAACATTTTGCTGTGAGGATGCTGCTGCTCTGGTGGATTTTTGGATATTTATGGGTATGGTGCTGATTTTTTTTTTTCCCTGGTCTGTCTGCAAAACCAGTTTCTGGTTTTAGCCTAATTCACCACTAATCCTCTTCGCTGAACCTCAGATCTCCTGCGGCTTTGGGTAGAAAAGGGGCAGCAAAGGGGCCCGGCACAGAGCCTGCCACAAGTGTGATACCTCTGGTCGTGTCCGAAGTGCTTGGCCCACTGCAGCTCCATCAGCTCCCACCCAGGCAGGGAGCTCATGCTGTGCCCTGAGCCTTGTGCTACGAAAACGCAAGAAAAACATGAGACTCTTCAGGAATGGACAGAGGATGAGCCAAGATCAGGTCCAACAACTAATCTATCCTCTGAGTTAATGGTTTGCTTATTTAATTAAAGGTGGCTGCAGCACAGAGCGGGGAGCGCTTGCTGCCTGCTGCTCCAGCCCTGCGACCAGGACAGGGTTTCACACGCCTTAAACCTCCTTGTGACTCCCCCCCAGCACAACCACGGCGCTTGCAGCTACATTTTACCGCTGCCCTTCTTATCCCTCCGCTCACGGCACCACGTCGATCTTCATCCTGAAGAACAGCGTGTCCTTCGGGTTTGCTTTCTTCTAGGCAGGGTCTAACACCGCTTGGAGCCCTAACGCTGTCTTAAAGGGAAAAATAAAATCGTATTGCTGTGATAAATGCTTCACAAAGCAACTCGTCTTTTTCTAAAGGTTTCATCCTGTACTTCGCAAATGTAAATGGGGAAAAATCATGAGGGCTCTCAATAAATATGGATGATAACCCAAATCTCTCTGTCTCTACCCAAGGGAAATCCCCCTCCCTCCCATTACAGCTAGAGCCAGATAATTGATACAATCCCTAATGTTGACACACGAAATGTTTTGTAACAGCAGAGGGGAGAGAATCTGTTTATCTAAAACCACATTTGGAGTGACATAAGACTATCACTTTTTTGGTTAAATACCAGAAAGAATATCAATTCTTTGGCTGATATCAATCTAACCAGATCCATTTAGACTGACAACTCGCATTTCCCTGGTTTGGGGAAGAAGAAGGAGGAGGGGTTGCTTCCCCAGATCAGCGACTGTTAAGTCAACACTGACGTTTCTTTCCATTTTGGGGAGGGGGGGAACAAGCCCCCCCGCCGTCGAGCGAGCTCCTCTAAACACTGAGGGAGATTTGGGGGTCTCAGACGGCCGCCCCACACGTGACAGCTGGGTGCAGGGCTGCTGGCTCAGGGAGAAAGTCACAGGAACATTTCTTGTCGGCTTCCATCTGTAAAGCCAGATTTTTAAGAAAACTTGCGGCGGGCAGCTTTGAACAACAAACCCAGCCAGTTCTTCCTGCAGGGACGAGGATTATTTGCATCGGTCCTAAACCTCTGCTTAAGCTTTCAAGCAGGCAGAGGCATCCAATGTAATCTCACATGGCAGTTTTAGCAGGACCGCGGTCTTAAAATATTTTTCTTCCTCGATGGATTCCTGCTCCCGCAGCCTCCCAGCGACTGCTGCTCTCTCCGTGCCTCTGCAGCCAGGGGAAGCCCACGCGAGCTCCGACGTTTCAGGCTGCCTTTCCTTAGGAACCTTTCAGGGGGGGCACAGTTCAGCACCCCGACCCTGCGAAGCAGCGTGTCAGATGTTGCCCCTCGCCCCCAGCCCATCCAGGCTCTGGGAGCTAACACGACGCCCCCAGAGTGCTGCTGAGCTCGGTAACAGCCCGTGATCCAGCTGGATGAAAAATAAACCAGGATTAGCACTAACAAAATTCTTCTGTTGGAGCAGCAGTCATTTACCAAAGCCTAAGGGGAGTTAATTTTTGGTTTTGAAGGAAAAGGCATGAATGAAGCAAGCAGCGGGCCTTGAGAAGGAAAACAGCCGAGCGGTGAAGCGGGTGGGTGGGATTAGTGCAGCGGGAGGCCGAGGGCTCGCCTGGGGATGGGTCCTGCACTGAGCCAGGTGTGTTGCACGTTGGGGCAGAAACGTGAGGTTTGTGCCCACAAAGAGCAACAAAAGCTGCCTGTTCCCATCAGCAGCACTGATGGAGCCGCGTTTCCTCACCGGCACCCAGGGGCTGAATCCTCCAGTGTCTGCCACCAGCTTTCTTCTTCCTCCAGCGTGGGGTCTCTCCTCTCCTCAGCTGCTGCTTTTCCACAAATCCTCAGGAATGCAATAATCAGCTTTACCTTCCTCCTATGCAGGGGCAGAATCAGCACACAACGGGGCCGAAAGGCACACACGAGAAAAGTCAGGGGAGCTTAAACCCCCCCGGGGTGCACTGAGAACTGAAGGTAACCCCCCAGCACCACCACCCCCCCGGCACGGTGGTGGGTGCTTGGGGGCTGTTAATGAAGCTGGAAAAGCTGCCGGAGAAGTTGGACACAGTCATCCTACTCCAGAAAATAAACAGAGAAAATGTCACTCCCTGTCCAAGTGCTGTAAGCACAGACGCTGTTGTCAATAAATCAAGAAGTATCTAGGAACAGCTTGAACAACTTTTATTTTTTTTTTAAAGTGCTTAAAACGTAAATAACAAGCTCTTTATAAACATTAGTTGCAACTATTAAAACATGAAACACACAGAACCCACTTCCTGCGTACAAGAAGCACAGGGAAATCAACAACTCCAAAACCCCCCCGACGCTTCTCTCTCTCATTTAGGGATGTTTCTCCACCCCACGTTTGTAACACAGAACACACGGCAGTTTCTTCACAGACAGGTCATAAGGCTGAGTCTACGTAACACTCGAGTATCCACATCCCTTCAGGTTTGTTCCAGTTTAAGGATACACCTTGGTATTTCTTCTGGCCTGTGACTCTGGGTCAGAAGGAGCAGTCAAGGCAAAAAGAAATCACTTGGTCAAGAGTTCTTCAAAAGCAAGAAACCCAGTTGTGGGCTGACAACAAAAGCAGAGCACAGCTGCAAGCAACAGCACCCTGTGGAAGACCTTGTGAAACAGCCTGAGCATGGAAAGAGAAAGACAGACCAGGAGGCAAAATACAGAGGAATTGTTATGGCCACGTTTAAAACGGAACCAGTGAAAAGCTGCCGCTGGCCCCTCAAAACCCTTCTGTCAGCACGAGGCTGGTTACAGCAAAGAGGGACGGACCTCGGCGTGTTGCCCCGTGCACTGGCCAGAAGCGCTGCTCACGCCTCCCTGGTTTTGCAAATAAATCACTAAATATGGAGATCTGGGACACAAGTAACTTGAGAACATTTTCCCACACCTATTTTTCTCATCCCCCTCTACGAGAAAACATTTACGTCCTCAAAACAATTTCCCTCTTGTAACTTTGAGGTTTTAACAAAAAAATGATACAGACTGTGGCTTCAGTGCTGTCGTGTGGCGTAGCCAAGCTGCTTGCTCTTATGCAGAGAATAAAAACTGTGTGGTGGGGGGAAAAAACAAAAAAAGAACACATTTTCAGGACAGCGGCGTGGAGAAACACAGAACAAAGACAGAAGCATCTTTAAGACGCCTCCTCCTAAGCACAATTGTAGATGCCACTGAACTTCTAAATGCTCGAGGACAGACACGAAACATCAGGGCAGCCGTGGCTGTTGCCACCGCTTGTTTTTTTTTCCATAGCCCCCCCCGTCTGATGTGGGATGCCGAGGTACCCCACGCCTCAGCCTTCGGAGCTGCTCTGCTATCGCAAAGGCAAGGCAAGAGCGTTTTAGCTCGGCTTGTTGCAGCCTCCTCGGAGCCAGCGCGGGCTCCCGCGGTGGCAGGCAGTCCGGGGGCTGCGTCGCAAGGGAGGCAGGTCGTGGGAGGAAGCACGTATTGCTGAAAAGGCCGTACACCCGATACAGCCTGCTGTAGCTCTGAGATTCACTTTAGATATTCAAGTGCAAAACATTCAAGCTTTGGAAGGAAGGGAAAAAAAAAAAAAAAAAAGGCAGAGCTGACTAAGGCAGCAAGAGGATCAGGGAGGCGGTGAAACGTGATGGAAGAGGAGGGGGAGAAAGCAGAGAGGAGGTGCAGCAAGATCCTTATAAACTGGCACTTGTGTGGGGAGCACCTACAGCGCCCATCGCCGCCGGGAGAGAAGCCCCGGGAAGAAGCTGTTTTTCAGGGAGCAGAGAGCCAGCGCAGGCCCCCGGCTCTCGTGGGAGATTTCAGCTCTACGCCTCCCTAACGCCCGCCCGGCGTAAGCCTCGGCGTTCCCTCTGCGCCCCCGCCCTGCGCCACGGCACTCGGCTGCCACTGGGCTGTATTCTGGCTGGCCACAGCTCCCCCCTGCCTGCTGCCAGGTCAAAGGGAGAGCTTCTCCACCACAGACAGGCACCCAGAAAGGGAACTGAGCTCTCAGGCCACGGGATCTTTTGATTACATAAGCGGTGAGAAGCTTCTGGTACTTTCTAAAATGGTAGAAAAACCTTCCCTCAGACCCTCACATCTGACACCTGAAACGACCCCGCAGCTGAGACTTGCAGAGGGAGGAGGAACATAGAGACAGGCACAGGGAAGCGCAAAGCCCGGGATTACTTCCCCCAAGGGGCAAAGTCGAGTGGGAACAAACAGCTCGTGGCTGGTGTCTCCCCAGGTGACAACTCCTCCTCCTGTACGATGTCTCCAGGCCAGGTATGATTAGACATCCTCACTGACAGCACCACCAATCTCCATTTCTCCCGGCAGCTCTTACCCTGACAGCCCTCCAACCTCAGACCTCCAGCACCACCCAATAGTGACTTTAGCCAGCTCTGTTTTGTCTCGGAATGTTTGGCCCGCTCTTCCCTCGGTGTCATCTCTCAAGCTCTACCTCCCACAGCACGCGAGCTGCCCATGCACAGCTCCTGCCAAAGGCCAACAACAACCTGCACGCAGGGGCAGGAAGGCTCCACCATCTGCATTTAAAATTAAACGCCCTTGGTTTGGAGCAGCAGGCAAACACGAGAGAAAGTGGCCCAAACAGGTTGCGTTGAACTGAGAGTTGGGATCTCAGAGCCTGTTTTGCTGGGAATCTGCTATTGCCCTATTGTAAAAGGCACAGTTTTTTGAAGTCATGGTATAGAAGCAAGTAAAGAGAAAAGAATATGAAGGCTTTAAAAGAATCTAGTAACTATGGAAGATCTACAGGGGAGAGAAGATGCCTGACAGCTCAAGTCCCACCCCAAGGACCCTCCACCTGCACGGGCACCTTCTCTAGCCAAAATCCTGGCGGAACAAGAGAGGGAGCAACGCTCTTTCTACACCCTTCCCCAGCATCCCAAATCAAAAGCTGTGCTGCCAGCCTCAGGCTAACATCACCTACGGTTGTTAAACTGTGGAAATCAGAGCCCTATGGATGGTCACTCAACAGCAAGAAGCACCCAGCTCCCGAGAGCGGGTGGCCCACAACACCTCAGAGCAGGCCCAGGCCACCAGAGACCCGACGCTGGCACGTAGGTGTGATACAATTCACACGGGGTTTGGCACTAACGCTGGCGCGAAGGGGGTCTGCGGCCGTTATTGAACTGGGCAAGGAGGGTCTGAGGGGCGCCTGAGCTGGCGGGATGTCATGTGGAGAGGTGGCCAGGGGTCAGACTTCCTTCTCTGCGCACCAGCTTCGGTCCCGACGGCGTTTTCTGGTTGGGTGGAGAAAGGCAACGCAAAGTCAATGGTGGGGGGCAGCCAGCGGAAAGCGATTCCTGTGGTTTATACATTAGGGGACTGTGTCCCCCCCCGGCGCACGCTGGTGCCAGCCAGGCTGGTGACGGGTTGGGAGGTGTGTGAGAAGATCTGCTGCAGGATTGATGGTGCCCAAACCACCACTGGCCCTTCTCCTGTCTGGGCAGTTCAGTTCTCGGAGGGTCACCGAGGCAGGACTGTGACTCCCCGAGCACGCAGCGAAGGCAGCGACACCGCTCGCAGTCAGGCTTGAGGCCCCCGACTGTCGCTTTGTGTAGCATCTCCTGCGTGCTCGGGTCCTGGCACAGCTCAAAGCTGGCTTTTCAGATGGAGACCCTTCATTTGGGGGTGCAAAATGGGGGGGGGGCATCCAAGAGCAGCCCCTTCCCCTGCGGCCCTCTGAGCAGGCTCCGCTGCTGAGTTTGAGCATCCCCGATGTCACCAGTTTAACACCAGCCAGCAGAGAAAAGAGACAGGGCAGAGCGCAGGCAGAAGAGCAGCAGGAGCAGGATGAAGACACAGGTGAGGTTGTTGGTTTCCAGCTCTCAAATGTCCATGGACCACTTAAAGCGCTGGCAGGATGAGTGCCTGAGAAGATGCCACTTGGTCACAACAGCAGGAACCAAAGGAGGCATCTGCCTCCCGCGAAGGGCTCTGCTCCTCCCCACGGGGTGCACGACAGCCCAGCACCCTGGAGCTCCCTGGAGCCAGAGCGGGGATAAGCTTGGGCTGGGAAGGAGCAGAAAACCTTTCCCGCTAAACTCTGCGAACAGAAGCCACTGGAGCCCTCTTGTAAGAGGAGGGGGGAGTGCAGGGACGTTTGCAGTGTGTTTACTGGAGAAGTGCTGTAAGCAAGTGATGCTGGTCTCTGGGGAGAGGTTACTTGGTGGTGTTTTCCCCCAGCGGGATCTGGAGGAGCGTGGGAGACTGTTCCATGATGCGCACCAGCAGCTGGTCGATGTAGTTCTCCAGTTCCTGGATGTGTTCCTCCTTCTTGCTCAGCTCCTTCTCCCTCTGCAGCAGGAGCTGGATGAGTTCATCATGGGTCAAGTGATAATACTTGGCAGACTGGTCCAGTACGGCAGGATCCTGTGGTAGAAACCGAGAGGAACATTCAGCAAGTCGAATGAAAACTGCTGCTCCCTTTAACGTTTGCAAGATGCAGCAACAGCCAAAGCAATCCTATTTTCTGTGTCTTCTTTCCAACTCTGATAAGCCCAAGACACAGCGCAGCTACCCCGTCCTGTCCTCACAGAGCACCCTTCCCTCGTGCCATGCAAAAAAACTGGAGACAGACCAACCACCCAGACATCCAGGCCAATGCAGCCCCCTCCAGAAGGCCAGAGATGACTGCGGAGCACTTCTACCAGCTGAATGATTCACCCAGTTTCTCCAGAAACTCTGCCAACAATTAGAAGTTAAGGGTGTGGGCACAAGGGGGCCCATTACCCGGGCATAAGGAGGCTACCATTAGCTACTCCCCCCCTTCTGGGGGCTCCCTCTTCCCCAGGCCTCCAGCAGCATCCAGGTCTGGATGATGGCAGGAGAGAATTAAGAGCTGAAAAACCCTTCAGGAGGTCACAGAGGATGAGAGCCCTGGGGGAGTCAGGTCTCCCAGGAGAGCTGGGGCTGCCACAGGCTGAAACAGAACAGGGGAGCAAGACTCTCATCCCAGAAAATCAGAGATGCTCGTAACCCACCACATAAACTTCCATCAGGCAGCTACTGCCACCCTCACCTTTCACATCTTGTGCAAAAGCAGGAATTTGCTCACACGCTCTACAATAAAACCCCAAACCAAAGCAAGCAATTGGAGAACGATGGGGTGGGAAAGTCCAGAGATCAGATCATGGAGGAAGGAAGGAGGCTGGGCAACCAGGATCACAGATGTCAGGGTTAATCCACGTTCTACCTCCTCCACCACCAGTTTTCCACACCTCTGTCACCAACTACACAACACCTCAGAATCCCAGAATCATCTTGGTTGGAAAAGCCCTTGCAGCTCCTCCAGCCCCACCATGACCCTCCCCCTGACCGTTCCCAACTCCCCCAGATCCCTCAGCGCTGGCTCAGCCCGACTCTTCAACCCCTCCAGGGATCCCGGGGACTCCCCCCTGCCCTGGGCAGCCCATTCCAACGCCCAACAGCCCCTTCTGCACAGAAATCCTTCCTCAGAGCCAGCCTGACCCTGCCCTGGGCAGCTTGAGGCCATTCCCTCGGGGCCTGGCGCTGGCTCCTTGGCTCCAGAGACTCATCCCCCCTCTCTGCCCCCTCCTGGCAGGGAGTTGCCGAGGGCCAGGAGGTCTCCCCTCAGCCTC